TCAGGCAACGCGGCCGCAGTACACATTGCGCGGTCCGCGGAAGAGAGATTCAGAGAGATGGAAAATTCCAAAGTTCAATCCATGCGGTCTGCAGTCATGATTGTGCAGACCGCGCCAGCTGCCTCCACGGTCGCGGTCCATTCTACGCGGTCCGCGGAGCCCAAGTTCAGAGAGCCCAGAATTTAAGTCCAAGAGTCTAGTGCGGTCGCGGTCCATTTTATGCGGCCCGCACTGACCCCGTAGGAGTATTTTTGTCCAGGTTTTTTAGGCTAGTATAAATAGAACATTTTACCATTTTTAGGTTATCAGATATATCTCGAACTGAGCTGCACTCGTGGGAACCTCATCTGTAGCCATTTTTGGCATCTTAGCTTCAAATTAACAATAGATTCTTGTATTTTAATTTAGCATTTAATTAATATGCCTTGTTCTTCATCTATTTCTCTATTTTCTCCTTCAAGAATGAGTAGCTAAACCCATTAGCTAGGGTTGTGGCTCAACCCTAGTCTGAGTAATTGATGGGTGTTGCCATCTATTGTTAGATTGACTATGGGTGTTTGTTATTTGGGTCAATTTTATGGTTTAATCTATGAATTGGTGGTTGCAAACACTGATTTGTGCTAAGTTAATTTGGCTCTTCTTGAGAAAGAGAGCCTAAGTTCCAAAATTGACCCAACAAGGAATTGAGATGGACTCAAGAGTATTGATAGTCATAATTAAAGTGTTAAACCTCGAGAGAGTAATTACCCAACTTAAACCCTAGTTGCTTGAGCTAATTTGCCTACCCATTTGGTCTCGAGAGAGTCAATTGGGCAAAATCATCCGCTCTACCGAGAGGTGTGAGAGTGGGTAAAATTGTACAACGGTTATAGCATATTTCCCCAATCATGTCAATCGAACCTTAGAAACATTTACTCGTCAATTAGTCACCTAGGTGAAAGTCACTACCCTAGTGCTTTTCTACCCATTAGATTCAACTCTAGCAATTCTCTTATTAGCATAATTTTAGTTATAATTAGTAATTGATAATATTAGTTGTTAAAGAAAATTCAAAAGATGTTTGGAAGTGACATTTGGAACAATTACACAACTCTAATCTAGATAGATACTCGACTCCATTCCTAACTCCCTGTGGAAATCGATTCCGACCGTCATATCGGGTAAAAGCTATTGCGACCCTCTTTTCCTACTTTTTAGTACTGTGGAGTTGGCAACGATCAGGCCCCCAAAACTTGTTCAGCTGTATGATTTTGCTCTTGAAGCTGCTGTAGGTATTTTTCTAGTTGCGACATCAGTGTATAAGAGTGTTCTCTTTCTGCTTTGAAGCTCTTTGTTTGTTTGGCCATCTCGTTCTCGAGGGTAGTCAGTTTCTTTTTTTAGGTTGGTGGCTTCTCCATCATATTTCCTTTTTAATTGCCGAAAAAACTCTGCCCGTCCCTCTGCGTTCTTTGCTAACTGTGCCCGGGATTTCGCCAGATTACCCTCGGATTTTTCCAAATCATCCTCGCACTTAGCTATTTTCCTCCTAAAACCATTTATAACTCTTTCATCCTTCCGGCTCCTTTCCTGATTCTCAGCAGCTATCTTCATTTTTGGATTTGGGCTCGAAGGGCCTTGTTTTCTTGGGCCAATTACTTCTTCTCCCCTTCATCAGCGGCGACCTGTACACTTTTGTCAAATTTAAGATCTCAGATTTGTCCCTCTAATTTGCTTATTGTGGCCTTGTAGCTTGCCTCTTTTGCCAACCAATCTCGTTGCTCTTGTGCTCCATCAGTAAATTGTTGGACGTGGGGCCTTTTGGCCGGCCGTTCGGGCTCTTGATGGATTTGAGACCTTTTACCGTACCAAGTTGTGTAACTAGGCTCCAACTCGCCTCTGGACAAATCCCGCACCTGAGTTTTTGGCTCTAGGAACCTACATTGATGCCAAATTCGGCGCACCCTTTCTTCCGGGAAGACAGCTTTTGATCCTAGTTCGATGACCTGTTGACTCAAATCATCATCGTGCGGGATAGTCTGGTACCTGCCTAGCTGGCATAGAACTCTGTGTGGGGCATAAGGCTAAATGCTCAGGAGACCTATCAATAGAAGAAAACATACTTCGGCTGACATGTAAATGACTTCACTGACTGGGAGCCACCCGAATGTCCATTCAATCTTTCTTGCAGTCAGGGAGCTCAGATATGCACACCATGCTTCCGTACAATCCGGAAACTCATAGCCCTCCACCGGTTTTCATGTATTTCAATGTATTTAAGACCGATCATACCACAGCTCATGTACCCCAGACGGTGGCAGAGGTGTTCCTCCATCCAGAGTTGTAGAAGCATATTACACCCCTAAAAAAACTTTCCTCCTTCTCGACAAACAGTTAGAGCTCGGTAAATCTCTGCTAGGATCATTGGTACAATAGTGCCATTAGCCTTTTTAGTCATGAAGTCGGCTATTCCCACAAGCCCCAATTCTATGTTTCCATACTTTCTTGGGCAAATTAAAACACCTAGGAATACCACTATAAAAGCCAGTCCCCGCCGAGCTTCCCACTTATCTTTGTTCCCCGAATGAGTAATATCGGTATCTGGAATCTCAAAACCGCGGGGGTTTCCGTAACATCGGTACAAGAAGTAGAATGTGCAGAATCCCTCGGCCAAATTTCCGTCTTTAACTTCCCAACTGATGCTTAGAAGATCCAGAAACTTATGAGGAGTCACCGTTCTAGGTGCCACTGGGTATTGATTTCTGAGATTCCCACTAAAACCAGTGAAGCCCGCTATTTCCTCAAGCGTAGGGGTTAGCTCAAAATCAGCAAAATGTAACACATTATGCGCTGGGTCCCAAAAGGGTATCAAAACCTCAATTATATCCTTCCTCGGCTTAATATTCAGAAGACCAACAAGACCGCCCAAGGCTTTTATCACAGTATCTTGGCTGACTTCCCCTAAATCATTCCACTAGATATGTAGTTCTAACGGGATTTCCTCGAGGACTGTAAAAGGTTCATTTTCAATCGTGCTCATCCTGCACATTTATTTTAAAGTGATTAGTTAAAAGGCAGTGATTTACTTTGACTCAATAGAAAAACACCAATTTTCAAAAAAAAATGCAATTTAAAAGAAAAACACTTTGCGAATACATCCCTTCAGCACCTCAAGAAAGAAAATTTTAGGGCTATGTTTGCTAATCAACCAAAATTTTAAAAAGGACCTTAGGTGGCTATTCTTGCAAAAACAGCTTTCCGGTGCCCTTTTGGAGCAATTTGGCTATTTTGGACGAGAACATCATTACCTAATTTATTTATGATAAAATATCGACACTTCATATTTTTTTTTTGGGTATTTTTGCAAAAAATGGAGTTGGACCCGATGAGGGTTGCCTACGTATCCCACATCCGGTGAGAATCAAACTTGCGTAGTTCGGTCAATTTTGACGCAACAGAAAACATAAACATTTGAAATAGTTTATTTTTTATTTTTTCTTTTTTAAAAATTTTGGCAGAGTTTCAGGATATTTTGGACACCAGGGTTTTCACAGGCGGGTAATTTCCTCTCGCTCACCTCAATTTGTTTTTTTTCTCAATTTTTCCTCCCCTATTCTAGAAGACGGTCAACATGCAATCCGAGTCAAATAAATGTGCAAGTATTAAATAAAATGCATCATGATGGTCTTTTGATTTCGGGTACACCTGTCCTAGACGAACCCAACCCCTGTGTTGAGTCCCCAAGTCAAATGCACGTGATGCAAACAAGCGTTCCTACTAGGGCTCCGACATGAGGCTATGTTATACTAGGTTTGAAAACCTGGGTTTATTTGTTCTAGACCTGGCTTACCCTCACTCCTCGAGCCGGGGGGGGAGGAGGGGCAGCTTATTAGGAATACAGAAGCTTCACCGGCTTTGCAACTTGTCCGAACCTCGTTCTAAAATTGGGATATGACTCTAACAGAAGAGAAGCTACACAAAGTGCACCCTTCTCAAATGATTTAGAAGACTTAGAGAGAAAAGGGATTCGTAGGAATTTATATACAGTTCAACAATATCAAAGTGGTAAAAAGCAACATTTAGCACATTAGGCCCAACATGTAAATAAAACCAGATAATAAATTTTTACATCTCGCGATTTTCGTACGTTAAAAGTTTCATCTTCGGTTAATTGACGTAGACTCGGGGATGATACCATTTTGACGTTAACGCGCCTACGCTATTTATAGCAAGCGATGAATAAGTGTTATGAAGGATAAAGAGATATACAAATTAAAGGAAGCAAGTTACGTCGAAAGTGGACATTTTGGAATAAAATACGGGTATGGGTGTGCATTCGATTTATCGATTCGATTTTGAACCTTATCGATAATTACTTATCGATTATCGATTTGTACATATGCTTATCGTTATTTTTTAAATAAGGTTTCGATTTTTTCAATTTCGATTTATCAATTTTTGGTGCTTATCGATTCGGTTATCGATTACACCAATAATCCAAAGGCTGGTTCCCAAGACAATTGTCCCTTTGAGGCGTTTTTGAGTTTGCTTCTTTAACTGTAAGATAAACAAAAGCACAAAAGCATAGTCATTGAATTCGTGATGTCTCCAGACTCTGAATTCAATGGCAACTAGGAAGAAGAGACCATCAAAATTACATAGAAAATATATAGTTATTTAGCAACTACGTATGCATATATAGAAGCACGGTCTCTCTTGCCATATATAAGATGTAAATAAGAGGTACATCAACAACAGTCCGGCCAAGGACTGGAACATTGACAATCAGGATTAAGTCATTCACACGAGAGGGCACCCATTAACTTTCTTGGTTTTACTGCATAAATTTTCATCAGTTGTTGCGATGATAACTGTGGCAGCATAGAACTTGATGTAGACTCGATATGGCAGAGGCAAAAAACAATAATCATCATAACAACAATGATACAACAAAATAAAACGAAGTTCCAACAAACACAACTACATGATTACCAAAAGAAAATTAGCAGCAAGAACAAGTGTCATTAAAGAAGTAGAAAACTAAGTTGCAATTAGATCAATATTTCCTACATTCTTAAAGTCACGGTCAACTATAAATTACTGTGATTATGAAATAATTTGCAAAATAAGTCCCATGGAAAATAATTCCATGAAATGTCTTTAGTTGAGCGCAAGTAACACATTTCTTTTGTGCTTCTTATTTGTCTTCTTCTGATTAGAATCGCCAGTTGATGGGCAGCAAATAAAGTTCAACTTCACGAGCCCAACTTCAATGTCCATGTTATAGCTATAATGGGCAGCAAATTAAGAATCAACCCTCAAGTTATTAAAGAGAAAAACATTAAAAACTTTGTAATACATCACATTCTTTTACAAGTATATTATTTAAAATGGAGAACATACATAGCAACTAACAAACTCTAGCAAATATCGTCGGTGGAAGCTTCTTTGCCAAGATTAGTAAAATCTAATAAGAATATATATATTAACAAGTCAAGCAATTAATATATTATTTAACTATCTTAAGCAATACAATAAAATTGATTAAAATATACATACCTTCCTCGAGTGTCTCGAGAAAATCTAAATCTTCCTCAACATTTATAGGAAGCGATTCACTCCGAAGCCAATCTTGAAGGCACACTAGAATTTCAACCAATTTAAGAGTTAATGAACTCCTAAATTGGTCAAGAATACACCCTCTGATACTAAATGCACTTTCAGATGCCACACTTGAAATAGGAATAGCAAGCACATCTCAAGCCATCTTAGCAAGAATAGGAAATCTAGGTGAGTTCACCTTCCACCAAGCCAAGATATCAAAGTCCGGTCTTTCATTTTCAGGATCTTATACAAGATACTTTTCCAATTCTGTTTTAGAATCTACACCTCCACTTGCAGCTTTATGTTTCCTTATTTCATCTAAAAGTTCACCTAAACCAGGAGTTGAAGTTTCCATTGTGCTGAATAAAGAGCTTGGCAAAGAGGTAGAAACTTTACCACCAGTATCTTTTGAAACTGACTTAGAGACATACTCATTAAACAATGAACTCATATAAGTATGAACCTCTTTTTCAATAATTGTCCCTTCATCTCCAAACATCTTCTTAAGTACAAAACTAACAGTAGTAAACTTGTAGTGAGGATCCAAAACACAAGCAATGAAAATCATTTTGTTCATTTTTGTTGGTTCACCCCAATACTTCTCAAATTTTTTCCGCATACTTTATGCCATCTCACTCAAAAGTACATCTTCAGTTGTTATTAATCGATTTAAATAAACAACAACTTGACCAATTTCAAAAAAATGGGAATTTGATGTTACATAAAGTGATCCGGACACCTTCAAAGTGAGATTATAAAATATTTCAAGAAATTGTGCAATTCTATTTACATCATCCCAATCAGTTCTTGTAAGCAAACCTACAGGCTTTCCATCTGAAATAGCATCAAACATAAGATAACATGACAAGCCAGTATCACGATCAGAATATTCTTTAATTGCACGCTCATATTCAATAGCCCTGCTCAACATCAAGTAGGTGGAATTCCACCTTGTAGGAACATCTAAGCATAAAGACTTCTTGACAATATTTTCACTTTCACAACATTCTTGAAACTTCCTCAACTTAGCAGAAGACTGTCTAATGTATCTGACTGCACATCTAACACGAGCAATAGAAATACCTGACTCTTTTAA